GTCAAACAGTACTCTAGAAGGGAGCGATGTAAGAAAAACAACAGAGAGTAAAACATAGCGAAAGAAAAATCGCGTATGATCGCTTCTTCTCCTTTGTTCTCCCCACCTAATAGACAATCAGATAAGGAAAGCATCTATTATCCTCTCTTATGATGACTTCATCTCTCTTACAGCAATGCGCAATCTATCTTATATGTTTGCGGTTTCATCTGAAAAGTTTCGCTCCTCAGGTGCGTGAGTGTGCGCACATATGTGTGTAGTCGGTTGCAGAACGGCTGAGACACTTTCTTGTAAATAAAGTTAAGGGTGTTTTAAGTTGTCACAACTGCGAGTCACTGTGCCTGTCCACAGGTTTGCGTGATAACCGGCTATGATAAGAGCCGAAGTGATGATATTCGGAGTAAATATGTTGGTTCTTTTTGTTATACAGGGTGCCCCAGACTTTCCTCCTCAATTTTTATGGAAACGTAGAACGGATCGAGATGAATATAAAAGTCCCGTACCATTTTGTGATATTCGCAATAAATCTCGAGATACTAATTTAAAGAGATGATTGGTGAATGGCGCGATATGGTAGATGAGCTGTAGTGGTGCCGTTTGCCGTTATATACTTATATATTAGATCAAACTGAACAAAAAAGTCCTTTACTATTTTGCAAATGATTACATAGATTTTTAGATATTAATTAAACAAGATTTGTGCATTATCACACACAATCATGTGATAATTTTCTTTCATTAAAAAATCTACGTAGTTATTTGCAAAATGATAAAAGGCTTTTTTGTTCAATCTAATCTGGTATACAAGCACACAACAGCACACATCGTTACTACAGCTCATCTATCATCGTGCGTGATCATTCACTAATCTTCTTTAATTAATATCTCGACTATTATTGCGAATATCTCAAAATGGTATAGGACTTTTATGTTCACCTCAATCCATTCTACGTTTTCACAAAAATTGCGGATGAAAGTCTGAATACCTGTATACATACGGTTTTCTTAAACTCTCCGTTGCAATTGTGACGTCGGATGTCTCATATGCTGTCACTTTGTTCTGTCATAACCGTACGACCTTGAATTATAAATGTCTAAATAGGCGAATACATACAATGTAAAATAGGACATCGGACTTACAATGCAAAACATTAAAGTGAAGTCCACAGAGAACGCCAGCAAACACTCGAGAGAAACACTTACGATGATAAAAACAATGATTTCTTCATAAATTTTACATTATGTAAGTTTGTTCTATTAACCATATAGAGAGAAGAACATTCTTGTTTTGAAAATATCTTTACTGTTGACGTGTAAATCTTAAAATAAAATTACATAATGGTAAACAAAGATATATATGTATAAGCTATTTGCAATACAATAAATTTTATTGACTGAACAAAGAAAAATGTATCGTTATTATCCAAAAATAATTCATGAACGAAAATCACAAAATATTCAACAAAGAAAAATGTATCGTTATTATTCAAAAATAATTCATGATTCAACAAAGAAAAATATATCGTTATTATTCAAAAATAATTCATGAACGAAAATCACAAAATATTAGCTAATGTAATGAGAATATGATGTTTTTAAGTGTCGGAGGGGAGAATATATCATTATCATCAAGATTATATTGCATTTTTTACTATTGCAATATTCAAATTAAATTATCATTGTCGAAATTCGAGACTTCAAAGTTCTTCTAATAAAATTATATGTCGTTGTGAAACAATGATCGCAAGTTTGAATATATTAATTTTAAGTAGACACACTAATTTTCTTCCCTGTGCAGTGCCTTTTTAATGGCATCGTCACAAACCGACTGCTTTAACGGACAATCTCGACCAATATTTAAACAAGTTCTTACGTAACTGTCTACTGTACAAGTCCGTCAGCAGTGGCCCTGGATTATAACAACTTGGAGCGCTCCCAACTTCGTCAAGAGAAACGTGTCCATGTTCTTCTGCAACCGACTAAAGCCGCCGCTCGTTATCGCACTCCGTCGTCTCGTCATCGTAATCATCATCATTATTATTATCATTATCATCGTCATCGTCGTGCGATAAGAGAGAATTCATTAATCTCGATGCAAGTACGATGGCGTTTTTCGAGAGAAGCTCGGCTCTCCCGGCTCGGTCTTTCGAGATCCGCCGAGAAAAGAAGCGCTGGACAACTCTTCCGACTCGCAATGAAAATAAAAACGACATCCTTAACCTCGACGGTGACTCCTAGTCAGTCTCTCGATCGGCGCGCGCGATTCGTCGTCCTGCGATCTCGCAATTAAGGCAAAAGTACCGATGTGTGTACACATATCTCCTACACTGAGAGAAATTATCCGATAAAAAATTAACAAACGGATATTTCCGATCAAGGTATCGATGAATTTTTATACCCGATCAGGAAATATCCGATAAGAAATATCGGTTCATAATTTTTTCATCTGTTTATCTAATGAAATGACATTATGATCGGAAGTATTCGATTAAACTTAATCGGATATTCTGATCGGATATAAAAATGTATCGGTATTTTGATCGGAAATATCCGTTTGTTAATTTTTTATCGGATAATTTTGTTGCAGTGTAAATATTCTTATTGTGTTTTCGTTAAATGCAAATATTCAAACCTTTCACATAGAATGCATGTGCTGATTCAAGACATGTATACGTATTCTCTGTGTGTTGAAAGTTCAGATGTTATTTAAGACCAGAACAATGAGAATGTCCACAATAAGGTACGTATTTGAGAACTGGTACTTTTATCTTAAGTTTCTCTTGGCCGTCGAAAGGAAGTGTAAAATAGGAAGGAAGAAAAGAAGAAAGAAATCGCAGACGCACACGGTCGTCGTCGTACACTCACGTATTTATCGAATTACTCTACACGGGGAAAAAAGATTGCTTGAATCAACATGACGACAATAGCAATAACAACAACAATCTATATTTACGGGAATATACATTCTCTAGTATATATGACAAATATTATCGCAGATGGACAGACAAGAAGATAATAAGAAGAGGAAAATTAGATATGTACAATAGATGTTGAATAAGTGGAAGAGAAGAATATAGAAGCAATGAATAAAATGACACACACGCGTGCATACACACACACACACACACACACACACACACACACACACACACACACACACACACACACACACACACACACACACACACACACACACACACACACACACACACACACACACACACACACACACACACACACACACACACACACACACACATACACACGCTCACACACAACTATGGAATACAAAAGTAATATATAAAATAAAATGACGTACGCGTTTCAGTTGGAGGAAACGGAATTTCTGCTTCTTACATATCGAATTTGGCTCGTGACGACCCAAGTTAGATCAGAAATTCTATTTTCTTCGATAAAAACGCTTCTAGTTACGCCACTGTAGTTCCAATTCGATGAATCTCTTCTCCCCGTGCAGCGCCGTCGATCGGCGAAAATCAATCTCCCCGCGAAGTTTTGCTACTATCACTAGTAAAAAGGCTCGAACTCGCGTCGAATCTCTCTCCCAAGAGACGATTTCGATCCTCGACTGCGATCGATCGCGACTCATCCGCGAGCGGAAGATATACTCTTCGATATACTTCCCCGCTCGTCGATTTTCGCGTCGATTTTATGTGTGAGTGGGCTGCCCCTTTCGCTCGTCGTTATTAACCCTAATCTAGCACACTGGCGGCATTTTCGATTTTTCATTTCGTGTCATCCGCAACCTAGTCAAGACTAGTCGAGGACTTTCAGTTCACGCGCTAGAAAGAAGTTATAGCGGAGATAAGAGATTTAAACGTAGTTGGAGCAATTTCCATCGCTTGTCATATAACACACGGAACGACGAAGTTGCTTTCAGGTCGTTCACTGACCCCAGTGTGCCAGATTAAGACGCCGAAGCTTAAAATAAAGATGTAAAATAAAGATGACTTTTCGTTATATTCTGGTTCTTCACATTAAATATAATATGTACGAAAGGTTTTATGCGTTTTATTTATTTTTGGCTACATTATATGTGATCGAGGTTTCTGTCGCCGTCAAACTTTAATCACAAACAAGAAAATAAAAATTCAAATATAGCTAATTTTAATTAATTTTTTGTAACAATTTCTATAAAATTACAATAGATTAATGTAAAAGCAAAAACACTATTAATGATTTTATTCGTTTCCCTTGGTTGAAAAATGATGTATTTTCGTGTACCCAAATAATTACATCCTTTGCCAAATTGAAATATGTAATATTTTTTTTTAAAGGTTCAAGTATCGAGAAAAAAATCCTAGAGTGTTAATTTTTTAAATTTATTTTCAGGAAAGTTACAGATTTGCATAAACTCACATTTTCCTTTCATTTTTATTTACATTTGCAATAAAATGAAATACTTAAGTAAATACTTGCGATCACTCCTGTGATCATAACTTTATTCTACAGACTTGAGAGTATATATATTTTTTTTAAAGATTTTGATTAACCATTTTATGGAATGTAAATAAACGGGGACGAAAACGACCCCAGTATGCCAGATTGAGACGCTCAAAATATGTGTGCCAAGTGAAGATTAATCAACGGGCTCAAAGCAACGCTATTTTTCCGCGCTTAGAAGTAAGAGACCGGGCAAAACTAATTATTTTAAACATGTGAAAGATGAAATTCCTGCTTGTTTGATTCTAAAATTTGTTAAAGAACAGTAGAAATAATCGATTTCATTAACTTACCCCGTTTTCTTCGAAAGGGTAGGCAAGAAGGATTAAAACGTATACAAAGGAAATGGAGAGTTTTTCGCGGAAAGACGCGAAAGAAACGGAATGCTCGGCGAAAAGCCAGCCCGATGTGTCCTCACGTGTTCACACGCCGAACACATGTCTTTCTTTCTCTCTCTGTCTCTCCCTCTTTTCGTCTCTTTCTCTCCCTCGTTACACCGATTGGACCCAAAAATTAAGAGGATACGTGTTCGTGTTTTCTTTTTTTTTTTTTTTTAAGTATCCGTTTTTTACGTCCTCCTGCTCTTCTCCTTCTCTCTCGCTATTCCGAATATTCTCCGAAGCTCGATTTTGTATAACATCTGCCTCTCGCTCTCGACGAGATATTTTCTATTGATTTAAACCTGTCGTATCCTACATACGGGGTGTGCGTTCCGTGGGCGCGCGCGGATGCTTCGGCGAGTCGGTCGATTTGTCTTTAAGGGAAGCTCGATCGACGGTGTCGACATGTTACCTAACGGGTGCTTCGCGAGCATCATGTGATTCGATGTATAATTCGCTTCCCCGCGCGTGAAGTGTTTCTCCCTTTACCTTCGTTTAACCCCTTAAGTCTACGTCATGCACTTGACTAGCGCGGCGCGGCTTTCGTGGATGTCGATACAGCTAGACAATTATTCGCAAGCTGGGGACTCCAATTGAGACAAGAGCTATCAGTTGGCTCCGACAAAGAACGGGACTCTCTCTCCGTGAATGACGACGACGCGTCTTCGATCGCGTGGGCCGGCATGCCTCGACGGCGTCTTCGTCAAAGAGGAATCGAGCCCACGTCAGAGTCGGCTAGTCCGAGGGATCGCGGGAATCACCCCCCGTATGCACGTACGATTTGACCTACTTAGTCGCAAAAATCTACATCGGCCCATTTCGCATCTCTAAATGTTACGTTACGTGAGAAAATCGCAAGAGAGTGTTGGTTAATCGATAAGAAGCAGCGCGCGCGTCGCGCCTCTCTTAGATCTATATGTACTTTGAAAAACAGCGATTAGTCTACTTCTTCTCCTTCTTCGATCTCCCTCTCTTTCTCTCTCTCTTCCTCTCTCCCTCTCCTTTTCTCACTCAACTACGGATAAACATTTTTCAACAGCTAAGCGTAGCCATTAGAAAACGACACTTTTTCGCACTTTCCCTACGAAGACAATGGTACGTACGTAGACTTTTGTGATGAAGTCTGCGCATATACGCATAAATCTGTATACATTGGTGTTGCAACTATGTATACGTTTTTCTATATAAGTAAATATGTATGTTTGTTTCTCTGTGTGTGTGTGTGTTTGTGTATTCGTGTGATGTGTCGTGTGTGTATTTTTTTATATTTAACATATATCTTATTCTATACCAACTTTTCTTCTCCCTCTTTCTTTCTCTCTCTCTCTCTCTATCTTTTCTTCTCTCTCTATGTAATCCCTATAATTACGGGATAATAAACACTACGTAGCGCATAATCCATCGATTAACCTGATAACAAGTGATTTAGAAAGTAGCGGCGAATGTGTGTTTATGTGTATTGTATGTGTATATTTGCATGTGTGTATGCTTTTTTCGGTTGTTTTTGTTACTATCGAGAGACATGCTCGCGAAAAGACCACCTCTGACTATTTCTCTACTAATAATAGATATTCCTCAGGTGTACGTAGGTGTATATATTGTATATATATAACGAGATATCTGAATATAGAAAATCTTATATACAATTTACACTTAGAGGTTGTTTTCATATCTCTCTCTCTCTCTCTCTCTCTCTCTCTCTCTCTCTCTCTCTCTCTCTCTCTCAAGCGGATTATTATTCAATGATCATTACTAAACACGCGCATTTTTTACGCTTCGTTTACGCGGCATATCATCTACAACGACGTCCTCGTAAAAAAGGAGTCGTGTCATTTTCGGCGCGAAGGACTGTCGTTCCTTTCTGTCGTCGTGGAAAAATTCTAGATAAGATCCGACGCGATCGTTCAAAATTATAGTTTGGGTTACATCAAGCCGGCGAACTTTCGGCAACAGCGTGCGCCGCAACAAATGTACACAGAAAAAAGAATATTCCTGTCTCAAAAATATCTTTATTTTTGACAGGTATATCTTCAAATGAGATTGCACAGCGTTAAACAAATATAAGTTACTTGCATCGACACATTTTATACGACTCAACAAAGGAAACTATATTTTTATCGTTCAAAATAATTTTTACGAATGGAAAGCATAAAATTTTGGATTTTGGATTGATATTTTTAAATGTTTAAAGAAGAATATATCATTATCATCAAAATACTGCACTTCTCATATTATGTTGGGTTGATCCATAAGTAAAACTTGTAAAACTCTTGTGCTTTTCCGGTAAAGAAACGTTCCAAGTGCATTTTTCACATCCTCTAAAGAAGCGAAATTTACACTGTCAGAAAAGTTCTGTAATAAGCGAAATAGATGACAATTGGAGAAGGTAATGTCGGGTGAATATAGTGGAGATGAAGTGAAATATCCCAAACTCCGACAAACTCTGACAATTTTTATAGAAAAAAGCATAATGCGCCGGAAAAATCCATTATTGTCTTCCATTTTTAAGTCGCAACAAAAAGACAACTGTATTTTTTTTTTTAATACTTATATCACAAAATATGCTTTGAAATATCAGCTATCAAAGCATATATATATAGATGGCCAATTGTGTATAGAACTATTCTTCTAATATCAACATGTGAATGCGACTAGACAAAAATCCGCACGAATTTACGGACCAACCACCAATAATACCGAAATAAAATTATAATATCGTTGAAATTTACACACACAAGACTAAAATTCTGCTAACGAAATTATATATTGTTTCTTATTTGTGGAACAATAATTGTTAATTTCAGTACATCAGTTTTAAATGGATACTAATTTTTTTCTGTGTAGGCATGGCGACTCGCACCCTGTTCGATTTGGTCTCGCACCGAACGTGAAGTTTCAACGACGTTTACTGGCCTTCGATCATGCGATATCGCTGAAATTACGCATTTACCATAGCGTAACGCTATTATTAACGCCGATTATTAATGACGATCGCCAAACGAAGCGAGGGTGAAGCTATTAATCGATAATTAGCAATATTATTCTGACGTAGGATGTATACTTCCTAAATTTTAGGAGTGAAATTTCATTCAAAACAGGGGAAGATTCACCCGATCGTATAAGATCCCGAGAAAAAATGACTGTACATAATCAGAGCTAGACAACAAGTTAATCAGCTAAATGTTAATAATTTTTAACTTAATTAATTTTAAGTATATTAACTTTTTTAACTTAAACTTATATCAAAATGTATTAACCTTAACTTATAAACATTTGTTGTACAAGTTAAATATGAGGAACGTCCCGGGCTGCTTACAAATAGAGTAGAAAAATAAAAAAATAATGCCAGCAGAATCTTTTTCGTCTCTTTGAGCGCCAATCTTCTCTTGTATGGAATTCTGAGCACAAAACAGCCAGTATTTTCGTTATTTTCATTTGTTCACATAAATTTAATTTACGATTAAAGAATTAATTATGCAAGATAACATACATATTGTTTGGAATAATTAACTTTTAACTTTTACATGATAATTTAATTTTAATTTGATTTTTAATTTACTTTTGACTGCTTAAAGGGTATAAAACGAGAGAATAATCTCGGCGCGTTCGATTGATGCGCGTCGCCGGTGTTCCATTGATAATGGTCGACAGAAGGGAACACTCGCTAAAATTGGCTGTCGTTTCGCCGGAAATCGAGCCGCAGTCCGCGGCTGCCGAGGAAGCAGCCGGGCTCTGGTTTGGAGTGATAAAAATTAAGTGAATCTTGACGGATCGACGAGAATCTCAGTCGCGAGAGACTCGCGTGGCCGAAGTTCAGAGACCGCCGACGATCCGTGATTCTGCACTACGGAGGAATTCGCAACTATCCGGAGGTAAATCCCCGATCGCCGTCGATTCGTCCTTCTCTTCGTGGTTGGGTGAATGGATGGATAGATGAGCGAGTGGATGGAACACAGAGCGTCGCGTAGAACAAATCGGCAGATGACTTTACGAGTGTAATTGTGCAATTCGTTGGACGATCGAACTTTTTCTCGCATGTATCGACAGCCACATTAAAGCTCCTGTGTACTCGAGCTGTCTGATGACGTCAGAAGCGAAAAATCACAAGCTCATGATTCTTGCGTCATATGTTAAGATAAAAAGATATATCCATATAATGACACATGTAAGGTAAAAATACCAATGCCTCAATACGTACCAAGTATATATCTAATTTTGGACATTCTTGTTGTTTTGATTTTAAATATTTTGAATATATCAACTTTAAATACGATTTTTTAATCTTCAAATATAAAATATTTGTATATATATTCAATGTATGTATATATATTCAATATATGTATGTTCTATATTGAAAGTTTGAATATTTCAATATTTTAAAACTAAAATAACAAGCATGTCCAGAATTAGGCACATACTAGGTATGTGTCCAGGTATTGATACTTCTACTTTAATTAATTCAGCAAATTTGCAAAATGCTCCGAACACTCTTTTACTGTCAAAATCAATAAAATTAATAATAAAATCAATAAAATTAATAATCATAAAATTAGCAATAAAATTAGCCCCTAAATTAATCATAAAATTAACATAACAGGAATAATGAGAAAAGTTAAAACTTAAGTTGCATGTCTAATTTTATAGTTATCTATTGATTTCACCATTTCGGAACATTTAACAAAGAGTGACGCCAACATGTGCCCTCATTTCTGGGCAGTAAAAAATGTACTTAAAATATATACCAAATTAAAGGCTTTGATAAACTGATTACAAAGATATAAATTTTAGAGCTCAGTGTACCATTTCAACATTACGGTCCAAAAAGATTCCAAATTTTAGGCTACTTTCTTTATGTTTCTTTTATTTTATTTCAAAAATAGAATTTTGTTTGATCTAGTTTTTAGAATAGTTAAGCAAAAACAATTTGAGTATTTCTAATGTTTTTGAGTAGGTTAAGATGCATTTTCCTATGCACTTCATGTTCCAAAATCAACCGGAAATTTATGTTCCAATTGGAATTTTCTACTTTCGGTCAGTTTGGAACATGGAATTTATACCATTAAATTCTTCATTTAATTTTATTAAATGTAGCGTTTTGAACTTTTAAAATCCGTTAAGTTTTGCTAAAGAAACATCAGTTTGAAAGTAGCCTAAAATTTGGGACCTCTTTGGATCGTAGTGTTAGAACGATACACTGGGCGGCTTTAAAACTTATATCTTTGTAATCAGCTCATCAAGGCCTTTAATTTGGTGCCTATTTTAAGTACATTTTGCATTTAAGAAATGGAACACATGGCCTATGGACCAATGGCGTCACTCTTTACGAGAATTGTCTCTCAGGATGCATTTTGAATAAGTTTGATGGGCTTATGTTGAACTTGTAATAGAAATTAGCGAATATATAAAATTTTGGTTTCACCAACAAAAAAATTCATCCTATTTAATAAACAAACTGAATTTTTCTTTTAATTTAATCAGTCTTTGCTGAAGCAATCAGGAATATGTCGTTTTATGAATACATCTTTTTATTTTAACGTGTAACACAAGAATCGTGAACATGTGATTTCTCGCTTCTGACGTCATCAAAGACAGCCGACGTATTCAGGGACTTCAAAAGAACGAAACGATGAATTTCTTTTGGATTCTTTTGGTAGCGCGCCTGCGGCTAGAAATAGTCCACCAGCGCGATATACTCGATACTCTTCTTTCGATATTTCCGTGTTAGTGCGCTGCCGGGTATAATATAATAATAATCATCATAATAATAGAGGGTCATGGAGGTGACCCCGAAGTGGGGTATTAAATCCAAATAGCTTCGAATTTAACGTGAATCTGGAACGTCTTTCAATCCTCCTCGTAAATTACGTTCGATCGCGCTGGAGATTAAAGATGCCTCGAGTATGTAAATATTTTATGAGAAGAAGATGTGTAAGACAATGAAGTTTCTACGTTCTAAACGCCGCGAAAAATCCCTGGCAGAAATGTATACAGTTTGCGTGGACATCCGCCCAGTTGTTGTTTAGTATTAATGCATTCCAAAATTCTCTTGCAAAAATACTGCGTGGGAAGTGGACGAGAGAACTTGGTAGAACTTTATTTAGTGATTAGAGCAGTTTACTGTACAATATGTCAACTGATTCCTTCGAAGATGTAGTGTCAGTAATATTAATTATGTTATGTCTATTGTGAGTAAATTTGAAACATATTTATTTATATTGCTAAGCAAAAGAACTAAAAGTTGCGTAAACAATGCGTGAACGTATAGAGAAGTTTATAGGAAGAAGAGGGAAATTGGAGAAAATAAGATACTTGCCAATATCAAGCCCTGGCAGAGATGATAATCAAGAATAGAAATGAAAGTGTGCAAAAGAGAAATGGAGTATATGTTAATAATACAAAATTTCATTGCGATGAAAATACGTTAGATTGTTCTGATGGTAATGATACAAATGAAAACTATCATGATAGCTCAGACTCCGAATCTGATGAAACAGTCCAACCACAAGAATGGGCAAAAAGACATATATCATTATTTAATGAATGTAAACAATGTCATGTAAAAGACGAAAAACTTGAAAATATATTTTACGCACTACACATTTCCTGCGCTCTGTGACCCTCATTGGCATTCAAAATGTTCAATCAGAAACCATGCACAAAAAGTGAAATACTAAGACAAGTCTGCTCGTTTTACGAGCAGCAGACTTCATTATTAACTTTCAGAGAACAACAGACCGTTTTGAGGGTTAAGGTCACTGAGTATTCGCATCGGCTGTCTTTGTTTGATGACGTCAAAAGCGAGAAATCGCATGCCTACCCCACACAACACAATGTCTAAAATCAGGACATAAGAAACCTCTGAAAGACGTCTTAAAGACATCTCTCAGACGTCGGAATATAAGACGTTTCTAAGACATCTTTAAGACGTCTTTAAGACGTCTTATGTGTCCCGATTTAGACATTATATGGGATGATTCTTGCGCTATACGTTGAAATAAAAAGACCTTCATAAAATGACATTTGTAATCGATTCAGCAAATTTTTTTAATGTTCCGAGCACTCCTCTTTTGCTGTTAAAATCAATCAATAGCTGTAAAATTAGTGTGACATGCAGGTTTTAATTAAACTTTTCTCATCATTTCTGTGCTATATTAGTTTTATGACTATTTATTGACAGCAAAAAGAGAGTGTTTAAAATCATTTCGCAAATTTACTAAATCGTTACAAGTGTATAAATGGATATATCTTTTTATTTCGTATAACGCGAGAATCGTGAGCATGCGATTTCTCGCTTTTGACGTCATCAAACAAGAACAGCCTATCCAGAAATACTCAGTCTTAAGAAGTAAGAAGCTTTAATCAGTCAAATATTTTTTTTTCATTTATTATTCTATTTTCTTCCAGTAAATGGGTTCAGATTTTGCGCATCTTTCGTACGCAATGACTGTAAAAAAACCTTTACATTTTTATTAAGATCCTAAGTAATTTTATTTTTCAGTTACTGGACAAAAGTTAACATGACTGTCCAGTAACTGCTCGAAAATTGGAATAAACTTCTACCAGGGACTTATAATAATATTAATCAATGTTTTATTGAAAATGTTGATATCCCAGCGCGAAAAGAACGGATGACAGTCTCTTAACTTTCGCGAAGTTTTAAATTAAAAATTGCGAATCATTCGTTCCTCCTCCTTTTCTTCTGAAAAATAAAAGATTGTTCGATTAATTTGGATCTTCCTCCTAATTAGCGCGTGGTACTCTTATCGACTAAAATAGCGCGTGAATCCTTTTTTTTTTTGAGTTAATTTTAGTTTCGAATTAATTTTCACGGTCGTCCACAATATTAACTATCGACGCTCAGCGCCGTCAATATTTGTTGAGATATTCGTCGATATACCGCTGTCGCTGCTCGCACGAACGGAAGTATCGATTCCTTCTCTCCTCAATGACCATCCCTGGCCACGACTCGCCACGATGCATCGCTGATCGTTATAATTGATGGCATTGACGTTGCCAGCAGCTGACGCTCCGCTCCCGCTCGTCGTGGCGATGTATTGTCGGCTCATTCAAAAGGACGATCTCTCTCGATTTCGAGTTGAATCGCCGGCAGGCTTAACAGCCACCTAGCGTCGCGGATTTCGCGACGCGAGACACTCGTCGCGGCCGTATTTATAGCGGGATCTCGAGTGCAATTGCGTACGGACGACAAACAACGCGAATATTAACGACCACAAAAGCGACGATCGCTCAACGAGATCGCGAAAAGAGCTTCGAATCGGCGAACGGGCACAAAGAGAGAGAGAGAGAGAGTCGGAGACAGAACATATTTCTCATATTTGCTCCCGTCAATTTATTCGTCGCTTCGCACGCAATTGAATAATATTATTTTCCAAATATTTTCCTTCTCGGGGAGAGAGAATGGACGAATGACTAAACAAAAAGTAATAACGCGCGCATTTAAAACGTTCCACGTGTATTTTCTTTTTGAACTCGGGTGTTGGCTCGGCATCTGCGACGACGTGATTTCGAACGTAGAATAATATAAATATCATAGATCGTGCTGTGAATTTCAAGATTACTTTCATGTGGATTGTTTACATACTATCTACATAGCGTATATATCTGGCAGACAATACATGAAATGTTCTGCATAAAATCCAGAATATTCTGTGAAAATTAGATTAAAATATACGGAAGAGTAATTATAAATTATGAGGCAGATATATCTAAATATATATCTATATATATATATATATATATTGTAATTTTTTTAGTATTAATTATACAAATGCACTGAGAGAAAAGAATGTCACGAAAATTATAATTATTTTAGACGTCAAAACTGTTTTCCTATTGTTTTAACAAAAATGTAATTGCAACAATATGTATCTAAAGTTATTATCATTCACACTATGTAATACTTGCTACAAAAATAATTCTTTCACAATTATAATTACACTTTCTTTTCAGTGCTAGATTTAAAGAAGATAAAGAATTGCATGAAATTTTCATTTTATTACTTGACAGATTAGCAGATTTAATTCCAAAGGTAAAAATGTAACCAGAGAATTCTGTGAAGTCTAACTAGTCTAGAAGAGTAGTTATTTTTAGAAGAAATAACCTTTATAAATTTCTATTTGAAGGTCAAATAAAAATATTAAACTTGTTAACTCTTCCTGGTCATCATGACTTAAATTGACTCGTGTTTCAATTTTGAAGCTGAATACCTATGAGTTTCCGGTTTACAATGGTCCTCTACCTTTACTCGAAAGTTGAAGTTTCCTCTTTCAATAAGAACTACCATTATTTGAAATAAAAGCGTCATTCATATTTTTACTTTTCATAATTATTTGTTTTCTTTTATTAAAAAATTGACCCTTTTCATGGAATAAATATCTTTTAAAACGTGCACTACAGAACTAATTTTTTCCTTAAAATACCACGTCTCATAAGTACGACACATAAATTTTATCGAAAAAACTTAAAACATAAAAAGTTCAAATTTTTTAGTGGAAAACCTCACTTTTTACGCAACTTATACGTTTATTTTTTTTATATATTATCATTTTATTTCTTATATAAATTTGAAAATGGTAAGTATACATTTTTCTAGTAAAAATAAACATACTTGAAAATTTGAATGACTAAAGCTGACATTTTCATAAAATTCTTTGCGTAAATTACTCGTAAAAGATTATTTATAAGCTCATGTCGAATATGAAATGCTTTTTCCTTGCACTTACAATGCTTATAAGTGTTTATATTTTATGGTATATTTTATACAAAAACACAAAAAGATATGCGAATTATTTTTTTCTAATTTTGATGTGCTTTTATCTCTCTTATGATATATTCTATTTTCATGCACATTTCTAATAAATAAATTTTTTTTAGTGACAAGAATTTCTGAAACATTCTTTTCTCTCACAAGTCAAATATCGAAAAACTATATTTTTTAGACATACTATAACAGACGGTTTCTCTTAAAAAAACAAATATTCAGAATAAACTGTAATAAATTTAACATATTAAATTCATATTCATACATAACTTAATCCATATTCAATGAACTTTCGTGAATTTTTTCAGAATTTTCCGAGCACATTAATGTAATTTTATAAGACGTGGACATGACGAGTCCGGTTTGCGATGACAGAAAACAACAGCCCGATTTGAAGGTTAATTCTTGAGCAAGTCACATGTGCTCTGAATGACGTGTAAAGATTATTCATTGCCTGCATAGGTGACATCTTATATACAGTTTACGTAGTCCACACGTGTAGAGACGTAGAGTATCATAATTTACGTGCAAACGCTCTTCCTATGAATATCTGTTTGTCTCTCTTCCTCTCTCTCTCTCTCTCTCTTGGACTGAACGTACTTCCATTGTGATGAGCGTACGCCACTCGATACACCCTCGAGACTCTACTCGAATATCGACGACTATAAATACGGCCCTTCAGAGCTGGTGGTAGTAGCGTTCGAGCGCGGACGGCTTGTCATCAGCATCAGTGTTAGCTCCGGCGTATTACGTCGATCGATCACATCGACGTCCGAACGGCCGCATCCCGGCGACGGCGTCGACGGGACCGGAGGGAAAGCACCGCGGGAGGAAAATCCGGCCTATGATATATCCGCAAATGCGATAAGGAAAGTCGCGAGTCACGTGGAAACTACGAGCATGTTCGACGATTTGTTGCAAAAGGAGCGGAGTCAGGGCGGGAATCGAACGGGGGCGTATGTGTGTGGTATGTGTGGAGATGTTTGTGTGTGTGTGTGTGTGTGGTTACCGCTAACTGACTATATCGTCGGGGATTACCCCGTGGGATTCGCCTAAATGTCTCGGGTGGTGGTCTAGGGTGGTCTATTCCGTTGAAAAAAAGAAGAAAAATCACTGGAAACCACGTATCTCGATATGGTAAACACGCATTAGTCGGCTCGCGAGTGCGCTAGCTACCTACAATCGTAATCGCTCGCGATGCGCCAACAAATCTACGCCTGTGTCGTGAGTCCACACGCGCAATGGAACATATTAAGGCTATTCTACTATTGCGTAGTCATAAGTGGTTGTAAGTGATTACGACAACCGATCAGAGTAAAGCAGTCAGTGAATAAAATACTCTGATTGGTTGGCTTTTACGTCTCACGGCCACGCTTATGCAATTGTAGAATGGCTTTTAGGTCCGTGTCAATAATCGTTTACTGAAATTTGTCTCGTTGAGATTCGCAGATTTAAATTCTGAGTTGGATCTGAACTTTAAAGAGATAAATCGCATTATATATACGACGTTATATTTATAATCGCTATATTCCACTAAAGAACTCACATCTACCTCGTGATTCGAGTCTGAAAGTCTCACTTGAAACAAGTTTCATGTAACAGTTATTGATATGGATGTCCGTGTGGATGTTGTGTGTGTACGTGGATGTTACGTATATATGGATGTATATGTGGATGTGTATACATATATCGTGTGTACGATACGATACCGTGTACTTGTGTGTCTTGCTGCTCGTTTATAATCCTAATTAGCGTCATTACAAAATCTTACAACTATTCAACAAAAACCAATCTCGTAACAACTCTTATCTACTTGTTCGTCTTTCGCACACACGCTTTCTTTCGTTCTCCTACCTCTCTCTCTCTCATTCGATCTCGCACTCTCCTGTCATTCACACACACGCGAAGAAGTCTTTCACGCGCGCGTTATTACATCAGTCCCTAATCGTCGCGCGGTAGTCTCGGGTCGCGGAATTCTCACGGAAGGGCATCGAGTCGCTCGCCAACGCATCGCCAGCTCTCTGTCCGCTTCATCTATCACTACTATCGATTACGCATCGCTGAATTGAGGCGGTTTGAGAACTAAACAAAATTTCTGGTTATTATAATCACATATTCTGGCATTCAACGCTGATTACAACATAGATAGACAACTTATAACGGATATATCAGTGAAGTGACGTAGGCGGACGATTCACAATCCGGAGGTTCTGGTTTTCGAATCCCACCAGGATAAAAGGTGATTTTTCCAAATACAATTATAAGATAAAAATATCAATGCCTGGACATTCTTATTGTTTTAATCTTTAAATATAAATATTTAAACTTTCAACATAAAATATATATATATATATATATATATATATATATATATTGAGTATATGCATATATTTTATGTTAAAACTTTAAATATACGCATTTAAAAGCTAAAACAACAAGAATTAGGATTAGGAAGCGTGTTCGGGAATCGATAATTTTACCTTAACATCAAATCAGTTAAATTTCACACCAGCAAAATAATCATGCACACTAACACCTTAGAAAATAGTTTCCAGTTAAAAAAGTAATAAAATTTCTAGTAAGAAATATATATAATTTTGTTTACTTTGGTCGAAGTAACCAAACTTGTCCAGTCACTTCAACCGAACCCTCGTAACCAAATTTGTCTGGTTACCTTAACCAAAAGTATGATTCGTTCGTATCTGAGCGAACAGTCCGGTTGATGTATCCCGAATTAATTCAACCAATTTTGTTTCCTTTCTTTTTCTCGGCGTGCTTCGCAGAATCTGTATTTTTCAACCACTGCTCGCGTGGGGCTCGCGCACATCGCTTGGGAACCCGTGCGTTTTCCGCATGCCGCGCGAATTCGGCGCGCCGAAAATTTATACGCCAATGTGGGACTTCGCGGAGCGGACGAGCCGCCAGTTTCCCGACAGGAAAAACGCAGCGCCTCTCTTGCCGCCGCGGACGCCGTCGCGAGATCGCCGGGGGTGGGATTCGAGTGACAAAAAAAGAAAAAGAAAACGGACAAACCGCGCGCCCCAATCGATCTCTCCCGCGTGAGCGATCTCGTCCCCGAATCGTTGATCTCGCGCACGCCAAAGGGAACGATCTCGACATTAACGGGACACTTTAGCGGGAACGCGACGCCGAGAAGAGGCCGGAGAGAGGGAGCGCTGGAGGACCATTAACGTCCCGCCGGCGCGACCGCTCGAACCCGAGATTCGGCCTGCGCTGCTGATCGTCGGGGGTCTTTTCGGCGCTGCGTACGAGAACGAAACGAGAAATTATCGGCGTCACACTAATTGATTACTGCGGCACTGCATTAATCGGACAGCTACGGGGTAGTTAATTAGAACGAGAAGCGGTTAGAACAATCGCGATAACTTCGTCGCCCACGAATACGGCTCTCTCTCGCTCACTCACTCCCTCGTTCTCCCTCCTTCGCGTTGGGAAAACGCCAACGCGACGAGTCGATCGCGAATTATTTCGTATTATTATTACCATTACTGCTAGCATTACCGATTAGATAATAATAATCGATGTATCGTGCGTATGCGGCTGTATCGTTTGTATCGGTAAGAAATATTCAAGATAAAAAATATGACGCGTTCACACATACGGCGAGACCTCAGAAAGGATATGTAACTGACGCGGCGAGTGAGTATTCCTCGCGAGAAGTAAACCCTCTCTCTTCACTTCTATAAAATATATCGAGATACTCCGAGAGACGCGCGCGACGGGCGATGGTCGACGATGGTAATTCCCGCGAGTTCATTACATTCATTAATATCATGCTTTCCGCGGTGGCGGTAGCAAGCATAGCATTAATTATGGCGAACTCGAAGTGATTACCATTTTGATGGTGGTAGTAGTGGTGGTAGTGGTGATGATGATAGTGGTGGTCGCAGCTGTCGCCTTCTCGTCGACTCTCGCTCGTCGCCGCCTCGAGATTACCGCGGAGACAGTTCCACGGCGGAGTTGAAAAGAACAGGAACCCGAATAGTTGTGGTTGGTCTCAACACAGAGAGAGAGAAATCATACGCGTCCCGAGCGGTCTACTGCGTTTAAGGTGAACTGAAGACAAAGGTCTCGGAGTCACGCCGTCGGCGAGCGACGCGCGAGGACGAAGTCCAGTCGCTCCCAGCAGTCTGGCGTCCTCGGCGCGGAGTGCGCTGCTTCGCTTCAGCGAGGAGCTCGAGCGCGGAAGCGGAGGCTCCCTCGAGACTCGGCCGCGAATGGGTCGCCGTCGCCGGCGAGACCGGCGGGGTCGTTGGCGGATCGGCCCACGGCAGCCTTTCGCGAGAGCCACCAGCCGGTCGAGCTTCGCCGAGCTGGCCTCCCCTCGCGACACGCGGCTGGATCGGCGTGTGCGGATTACATAACGACGCACTTCTCCTTGAGTCTTATCGCGTTGTTGCTCTGCACCGGCTGTAACGACACCGAGCGGTTCTTCTCGAGGGTGAGCAGGTCCCGGAACAAGGTGTCCACGTTGTGATTCGTCTTCGCCGATGTCTCCAGGAAGCCGCAGCCCCAGTTAGCCGCCTCGGCCGCGCCTTCGCTCATCGACACCTCGCGTATGGACGGGCTCTCGTCGCACTTGTTCCCAACCTGAGCACGTGGACCAACCAGCACCGCTGAGAGAGGAAGTAGTCGCTCGGGTGTCAAGGGGATCGCCGGATGCCGAATTCGTGAAGATCACGAGCGCGACTCTCGGCTTTCTCGCGAACGACAGGTTTTTCGCAGACCTTGGGGACTTTCGCGAATGGATCTTTCGGGATATTCTTTCCGAGAGAATTTACGAACCTTATCGCTCTAACTACCGGCGCGGAAGTATGATACTTAGGGGAGACCAGGGATATATTGATCATGTGCTTTTCTTGAAATAGTCCTTTTAGAATATGAATACTTTTCCTTGAATTTCATTAAAATCGGAATAATGTTACAGTTAAGAAATAGAAAAAAAACCGATTTGGTAATAGCAAAGTAAATTTTCGAGCCTCTCGAAATTTTGTATTCTCCATCGCGACTGAATAAAATTAAGCGATGTGTTTTAGTAGTTGGAACGACATTTCTTACAAATATATGATATATTGTTTCTAGTAATAAATGCAATTTTTATCCATAAAATCGAAACAGAGCATATTGCGAACGAGGTAAAGTTGGCCCATATTTAAGAGGACTGGAGAGTCAAATTGCCTGAAAATCGTGCTTATTTTTTCACAATTTTTTATGACAAACTGAATATGCGAAAGTGTTATTTTGTCGTGTATTTATACAACATACAAAGAGAAGAAAAATATAATTTTGATCAAATACTCAATATAAGTGTATGGTATATACAGTTAAAATATATTTCGTTTTTCTTTTCAAGATCGTTATTTTGCAGTAATATCTTGACTCTCGGTGGTTCAATTAAGCTGAATTTTAAGTAGAAAATGTCCGTAAGCTTGTCGTTATCGTGTGAATCACTATAATAGAAATTGAGTAAAAGTTAACAAAATTGCAAATATTTTAATGGAATATTATTAAATTTTCAGTTGTTTTATAGTAAAAAACTAATATTTCCAAATATTTTCACGAGTTTGTCAGTGGTTCACACGATAACGACAAGCTTACGGAAATTTTCTACCTAAAATTCAGCTTAATTGAATCACCGAGAGTCAAGATATTATTAGGTATACAACTTTGCTTCCGCCGTTTTCCTATAGATGGCTTTAGCGGTAAGTGGTGGTTGAAATAAATAGATCATATACAATAAACTTGGGCATCTGTCAACATAACCCCAGAAACATTAATCGATTTGTGTCTGCACATAAAGTTATTCTCGATTGAAAATGTCAGTTTACGAGCCAAATTCTCGTCATTTGCGGGAGGTTTTAATTTTCTGCTTCAATATGAAGAAATCTGCGGCTGAGGCTCATCGAATGCTCTCAAATACTTATGGTGAGGCCGCTATTAGTGAAAGAACGTGTCGTGAGTGGTTTCAACGCTTCAAGAACGGTGATTTTGACATCGAAGACCGGCATAGCGGTGGAAGAAAGAAGGTTTTCGAAGATGCAGAATTGGAGGCATTATTTGATCAAGACTCGTGTTAAAATCAAGAAGAATTGGCACGATCATTGGGAGTGACTCAACAAGCCATTTCAAAACGCCTCAAAGCTATGAGAATGATTCAGAAGCAAGGAAATTGGGTGCCGTACGAATTGAAGCCGAGAGATGTTGAACGGCGTTTGCTTGTGAACAGCTGCTTGAAAGGCAAAGATGGAAGGGATTTCTGCATC